TACTGAAAATGTTACACCCTCTCACATGCGCACGGGGCCCACGTGAATAAAGAACTCTCAAATGTGTGGTCCTCACATCCTATTGTGAGTGTAGGTAAAAGTTCAAATAAAAAAGAGAGTGTACATGTAGCATTGTAAAAAAAAAAAAAAATCTCTTTCAAAAGAGTTTTTAGAAAAAGTCACGTTGAATTAACTTCCTCTGATAATTCTTCTAACTGAGAGAAACTCTTTTATAAAATTAACCAAAGGAATTCAAAAGCAGCTTTGAACTCAAATTGTGCGTCAATCATAAATAAATTACAAAAGTGAAATTATACGTAAGACACAAAAAGAGCTTCCCATATTTCGAAAAAAACTTCAATAATGACCCTATGATGATGGTAAGAATTCAAAGAAAGAAAACACTGCAACAAACTCTCAAGTTCTTTTGTCGTAAAAATCTGCATTTCAACAATCATTTCCACCATAGATGTTCTAAAATCAGTATATGGATCACTCGAACGCTTCACCAATGCTAAGCTATCTTTAACCCCTTCTTGTATTGTCATTGAACTCTCCTTAGGAATCTTCCTTTGAGCTCTTCTCGACAGAGACCCGGCCTTAAATCCGTTACTGATGCAGCATTTTTCAGTAGTGAATTCTTCTTTGTCGCGAAAATCGCACTTTTTAGTAGTCGAATGAACCTTCTTGTTTATGGTCTTTCTAGTCGTCTTCTCTGAATAATTTTTTTGGAATTCGTAATGTGCATTGAAAGGTGAAATGGGAGATACAGGAGGGCACTTTCGACCGATTTCAGTAGAAACAAGTAGGCATTTTCGCTCCTCGGATAATTTTTCAGGCCATTTGGGTCTGCACACGAATGGAAATGAAAGAGGATGTGGCAAGAAATGCTTGATCAACTGGTAATGTTGATGACTTTGAGTCACCTTAGGAATAAAAGCCGGATCCTCAATGTCGTCGATGGTGTTTTTGGATTTGCACGATATGAGGGATGATCGAAACATACGGTAAAATCGCATTTTGAAGTTATTCTCCATTGAGCTTGACAGTTTGTGGGCAGTGGTGAATTTGGGGAAGGTCTTGTTTCAATATAGAAGAATTTATAAACAAAGGAAATCAAATTCATGCTAGAAAAGGTTGGTTCGGTTTGGTACATTTGGACTTTGGGTCCTCTTTTAATTTAAAAATGAGGATGACATACTTCATCCCAATTTTGTCTTCTCTCTTGTCTACATTTGAGTTACTTCAATTTCAACAATACCATGAAGGCCTAGGTTGCGTAGGGTGGGGTGTGATATTTTTAACACGATTCACAAGATGCTTATTCGTTTGAAATATTTATAGTTTGTTCGTTTGAGTTTCTTAAACTCTAATATAAAGTTTCTTGAAACTTCATCTTTTAAATTTACTCGTTAAGAAAAGTATTTCAAGTCTTTATATATTTAGCTGGCATGAAAAATCACCCTGAAAACTAATAGAATTGGGGTGCACAATGGGATATTTGGTCTACTATGCCAACGTCGTCTTCGTATTTGTGACCCCAATGCTGATCTTCAATAGTTGGTGTCGAAACATTTGTCTAGAAAGTGTCCCTCATATTTGTATTCTAACTCCGGATGAGTTGTATTATTAATTTAATCTACAATCAAATGTGTTTTATCTTGTATCTTCTTTCTTTCTCAATAGGATAATCGATCGTGAATCCATTTTGCCACACATATAAGTAGTTCGAATATGCCAACTCTTTAGGGTGGTTTGTGTAGGTCAAATGTCAATGTTGATATAAAGGAAACATTTTCAATTTACAAAAACTATTAGTAGAGATTATTAGAGAAACAAAAAGAACCGTAAATATTATCTTCATCATCACTTACCGTGATATTATTATCCCTCCTGATTAAAATGGACGATCTCTTCGTCTTTGTTCCACATCCCGAATCCCTAGAAATTAATCCTACACAACTTGATGAAAATTCACAGTGGCTCGCGTCTTTCAAAATAAGCATCTTCAAAAATCCTAAAAGCTTCCAAGAACTTAAAAACACATTAAGAAGTGAATTTTTTGTTCTTTCTTTCCAAAAGTCCCACCAAAATCTACATGACAATTGATATTCGCACCAAAATTTGAAGTCCAAGTTATCTCAGTGATTGCTGAAAAGCTGAGTCTACTTGGATTTTATACATTTGTATAGGACCAAAAAATAGCTCTGAAAGCTTCAGCGCTTTTCAATTAACTTTTCTTTTTAACTCGGCATATATAATTTTTTTGTTTTTGTTGTAGACTTATAATTTTAGCAAAAAATGTCGTGAATTCTTAACTATTTTTCAGTTGTAGATGGGATTTTTTTGTCTCTTTGATAAATGTTGTAAGTTCCCCTACAAAAGTCTTGATGTTTTTAGTGAATATTCACATCCTTTAGTAAATAGTGGTAAGCTCTCGCGTTTTGCGAGTTTGGACCAATAGCTTTGCGTAAGAAAATGCATATTTTGTATACAATATTGAATACGAATAAAAGTATTTAGGGCTCTTAGACCGATGCATATGTGTACGACTTGTAAATAAACAGTCAGTGTGATCAAAAGTTATATGAGAATAAGAACTAAAAAATACGGAAAATTGCACCCACGATACCAAACTTTTCAGATTTTTGCAGATTTTGCCCAAACCTTTATTTTGTGCCATCCACGATACCAAACATTTCAAAAATTTGCACCGGAGGTCCAAATGGACCATTTCCGTCCAGTTGACCGTTAATTAACCAAAAAAATCAAAATTGACCAAATTCATTAAGGACAAAATAGTAACTTTGTATTTTACATTTAAAATAATTATAAAGAAAAGAAAAAGAAAATAA